CAGGCCTCTCTCATCTTTTTAAGTGGGAGAACTTGCACAATTGGTGACTGACTAAATACTTATTTTCCCCACTGTAGTTCCAGTTACACAAGGCTCTGTACATGGACTAATATTCATCACTTATATCTCATGCTGTATCTTGACGAAAAAGTCTGGCTGACTTTCAGTTTTTGCATGTCAGTTTAAATACACCTTTGCAACAAACTGCTCAGTCAGTCACCTCCCCTGGTTGACATAAATTTACTACCATCTCTTGACCAGAACAATTTCTTTAAACACTAAATATGTTGATGTGAACACACTGAAACACAGCATCTCTACAAGTTTCACATATCTTCAGATATTTTTTGTTCCTCCATTCTTCTTTGTAATTTGTCATTTCTTTCAGGTCTAATGGAGAGGATCTGTGCAAATCAGTTTTCTAGTGCTGCCCCGGATTCTCAGTTGAATTTAGGTATGGGCTGAAAAAGAACCATATCGACACATGGAATTGCTCAAATCTAACCCATCTAACCCATGCTCATTCAGGAGGCGTGAACACTGCAGGACAGTAAGTTGATGCAACCTGATGTGTTTTTCTTAGATAAAAAACTTTTTACCAATTTAACCTCCCTGGAACTGTCACCAACTCATGGTGATATTAGAGAAGCCAAAGACGATGGATTGATGGAAGGAAGACAGCCTGGTCTTGCTAACCAAGAAATGAACCCTACCAACAAAAAATATGAGTATTTGTTTACTTGGGATGTTTTTCTGCAACAAACAAAATTCTGAGCCCTCACTCAGACTGCTGGATGATTCCCCAACATTTAACTCTAACTTCTGTACCAAAACAGTTCTCTTTTCTTGAATCCCAACCTTCCACAACAAGTCAAAAAATCTGCATAGAATCTATTATTTGCTTTTGCAGACCACACAAGTTCAGGATACTGTATCGACTTGTCTTTGTTTAGAGAAAGGCTTTACTTATTTCCTGAACGTGCCTAAAACTACGCATGAACCTAAATTCAATTTGCACAATACCCGGAAACCTAAATCCTGACAAAAGACCAACTTTGAACAGTGGTGTTCAAAGTCGGTCTTCGAGGGCCGGCACCCTGCATGTTTTAGCTCCCTCCCTGGTGGTAGTAACAACCTTTACAGCATGTCAATGTTCTTCTTAGGCCTTCTGCAAAGCCATCATTTGATCCAGGTGCGTTAAACCAGGGAGAGAACTAAAACATGCAGGATGCCGGCCCTCAAGGACCGACTTTGAAAACACCACTGAACATCGAGGACGAATTCATCGCTGAACACCTCACTACAATAGACCGTATTACTTCATTTAAATCTGGGATTCCTCTTATGAAAAGCCTTTGCTAATCAAACCTGTGTGGACACATCAAAAGAAGTAATTTTGTCAGCGAAACTCTCTTTTCATGCATCAGGGATACAACTGTAACACGATTTGCATGCAAGGCCAGAAACTGTGAGCCCCTGCTAGCATACACAGTGCCTATTTGCAAGGCATTAATTTAAAATTTGTTGCAATGGCCGAAGTGTTGGCAGCGAATGGAAATCTGATGTGAACACAGTCAAATGCACAAATCCTCAGCGCCAACCTGACAGCAGAAGTGGCATGTGTTGTCCAACACTGACTCGTGATGTATGTTGCACTGAAAGAGCGAAGCACGAGGCATGGCTGTCTGCCAGTGTCTGGCCACATGCAAATGAATTGTCATTTGGGTAGGAAACATGGGGACGTTTGACAAAAAAGAAATATGACAAAAGCTACCATCTGGATTTTGGTTTTCCATGTGAAATCACGGTCAAATATTTACACATGCACAATGGGGAAAAAAAAAAACACAAACATGCAATGAGAACTGCTTAGGAGGAAATTCCCTTCGATCACTGAGATTTTCAGTTCTACAGAAGTTTTCAAGACATCACTCTAGAACTGGATTTACTAAACTGCAACGTTCTTAAGGAGCGTCTTAGTTGCATATGTGAATTTCCTAAAAAAAAATAAAAATGTATATTTTATATATACACAATTTTTTTTTATTTTATATGTATAAAATAAAACAAAATAAAGAAATATGAAAAATTTGTGATCAAACTTCTATGGAGAATATTTTCATCTAGTACAATATAATAATTTTTTCATAAGTAAAATTGATTCTGCTAAAAATAAAACTTTTGGCGTTATCCTGAATGTAACTGTAGAACCTGGTCTCTTTGGAACGTTTTGATTCAGTTGAGCTTTCCGAGTTATCAAAAATATTCGCTTCAAGTTCCTCCATGCTGGACCTAATTCGAGCTACATTATCGAAAGTGTTCCCTTTATATGTTTTTCCACTAGACTGCCTCTAAGCAGTTAGATCCCGGTTTGGTCCTGGTTCGGTCCCGGTCCGATTCATTTTCCATTAGCAGATCCAGATCGGCTCTGCCCGTCTGTTCTCAGATTTTCATACCTACTTCAGGGGTAGAACTAGCTGGACCAAGTCAGTTATGGTGTTCCGCTTATTTGTGCTACCCGTAAATCCGTCCTACCTTGTGGTAATGCGCACATCAATGCTACGTCACAGTAGGAAAATCTGACGAGGTAGCACTGATAGAACACCGACAACCTGTCTTGCAGGACAAACTCCTAACTCTAAAGTCACAATTGCCAACTTATGTATAGCAATCAAAGCTGCTGTTATTACTCTTGTCCCATTTAAGTTTAAGGCTTCACAGCTTAGATTTTCTTCACATTGTGTGTGTTCAGCTGCTTGTTAAAAGACAGGCTACCACAAAAAGCAGATACAAGTATTAATACTTACAGGTACATCCACATACTTTGAGGCAGCTTTTACCTTTAAAAGAAAGGCACAGAAAGGGGTTAGCATCATTACTCTAACTGTGAAACCGCTTTTATGAGGAAGTGCTACTGTACTGAGACTGTTCATAGCACAGTGGTTAGTGCCTGCTGAACTAGCAGCCGTGACTTGCAGTGCATTTAGCAACAAACGTGCACTCACTAATTCAATATCCTTTTTTCCCCACAATACTGCAGATATCCAGCTGAGATGTTAAGCTATTTCATGGTGAGAGCGCCTTCATAAAAGGTCAAACTGTATGACACGAAACACCAAACAGCTCTGAATCCAAAATGACTGATTATCAAATTACAATGTTTCAGTTGATCAGGAAGGTGACATACGATCAACAGGCTGATTTTTAAATTCACTGCAACTGATAAGCTTGCAAGAATTATGTTAATAATGGAAATTTAGATGATGAATACTGTCAGAAGGAATGAATAAAGGATGTACTTACTGTGAAAGATAAGAAGGAAGAGAAGAGGGTCCCTTCATCATATCTAGAGAGTTTAGATAACACACTCTCTAGAATGACCACAAACTAAAAGCAAACCAGGAGAAATATTAAACCATGATAATCAAAGGATTTGAAAAGTACAAAAAATGTTAAATGTTAATTGATTTGAAGTTTTATTCAACAAAAATATCTGCGGATAATTGTTTTCCATCAGAAAGAGAAGTCCAACACAGAGGCATCTTTGGAGTACAACATGGTCCCAGCTGTGCATGAAGGTGAGACCATGCACCTTTGACACCTAGGCTCTTATTCCGTGCCCCCCCTCGATTGTCTGCCACCGAACTTGTAGCACCTGCACTTGATGGGCTCAGGGGAAGAGAGTCCACTCAAGCCAAAGCCTGACCACCAGGTTCTCATCGGTGAACTCCCCAGCCCTGGTCTCTCTCGTCCAAATTTACAAGTTTGTCTTTTTTGTGTTCTGCAATTCAATCAAAGTCACTGAGTCAAGCTTTGTGTGACCTCATCCGTTTAGGACAATTTGCCATTGAAGATGCTGACCACAAAGCGGTGGCCCAGACAATGGAGCCCCAACAGCGATAAGGGTACTCAAACCTCTCGTCAGCGTGGCTATTCACCAGAAGGAAACATCTGAGGGACTGCTTTGAATCCCAACAAATGTGTCTTTCCTTTCATTTTCTCACGTTATGTGGTCTAAAAGCACGCTCAGTGGTGTTGTACCTTTGCAACCAAAAGAGTAATCATCTCCTTCACCGTCTCCTCAATCAGATGGTCGATTTGGGAGTGGTATTGTCTCTGCGGATGAAAACAACACAGTATTAGGCATTTTATCTGCATTTATAAACATTTCTGAAAGAAAAATGACATCTGTCCATGTGTCTTTTTTTATTTCCTCAGCAAATTTCTAAACAATAGATCTCCATCTATCCAAAAGATTTTATGTTTTCATTTTAACATTTTTTAGCTATATTTGAGTGTTTAAAAAATAAATGCTTATGTTTTTTACAAAATTGTTTTTGTTTTTATACTAAATAAAAATTATATGCAATGAAACTAAATAGGTATAAACTAGATTATTAGATAACCATTAATTAATCCACCACAATGATGGTAGTAATACAAACTGGGGGAGAACAGAGGATAAGAAGGGACCTTTATGAATTCCTCTGGTAAAAACGTTGTGTTTTAAGTTATGCAAATGAGAAAGGGGTAAAGTGAATTACTCACCTCTCTTGGTACTTTTATTTTAGTCATTCATTATAGAAATAAAATATACAAATTTAGGTGAAATATGTAAATTAATGAAGTGCTCTGCGGATATTTATTTCACATAAAGGGAAAGAGAACAGAGAAAAGAACTTAAGAAACATTCATTCAGCAAAAATAATCTGCTTTTACGGAGAGGGGTAGAAACACTGCAAGAGGACTTCTTTCCTCTGACAAAACTGTGAAGGACTTAGGAATAATGAATTCATCGTCAGTAATTAGTATCTGTCTGGAGACTGTGCAAAACATGAGATCTCTCACATTCATCCCATGTATATTCAATACTATCTACACATATGGTAATGAAATCCAAACAATTCAAGTGAAGGAAGACAGACAGTGAAAACTGATGACTAATTATTCATTTGGGAATTAATGGGGGGCCTGGGTGCGGGGAAGAGGGTGGTGTGACTCAGGAGTTTCATTTAGATTTTGGTCACACTTACCCATTGTCTGACAAACTCCATACGGTAGAGAGGGACGGAAAACAGAAAACGTCGCAAAGGAAAATGGCATGCCACGTGCAAAATTACACAAAAAGCAGATATGTAAAAGCAGTCAAATGTTCATCTCGCATAAAAAAAAATGCTTTTACACCTTTGTAGGCATTTGCCCTTAAAAGTGCTCCAGCCACCACAGCAGCAGTTTCAAACTGGAGTGAGAATATTAAAGGAGAAGATGGAAGAGAACTGAAAGGGAAACCTTACCTCCTGACCGAGGTCCACCTCACACAGTTTGGCCGACTGGGACTTGGCATCCACCATGACATTAAACATGGTGCAGATGGACTGAGGCACGCGGAAATCTGTGGTCCGGCTGCTTCTCTGCAGCTTGGCCTCAAATGCTGCCCGTGTCCTTTAAAAGGCGGAATGACTGTTCAACATCAAAGCCACATATATCTAAATGAAGATATATGTGACTATATGTATATGTATACACACTCCCTGGCCAAAAAAAGAAGTCTCCACCTGAATTTAAATGAATAAATATGTCTGAGCCTCCAGCTGGATAGTTGGGAACTGTCTTTCTGTCATGATGGTATTAAGTTTTCTGACCCACATGCACAGACACCATCAGGAGACAAGTAAAAATCAAAGACTTTATTATAAAAACAAATAAATGTTGAAAAATCCAGGGAAAAACTGGAGGCATGGAATCAGAAACCCTGCAAGGAGACAGAACGGATGAGGTCGAGCTGATGGTCGAATGTCTAGAAAATTGTGTACAGCGATTACTTGAGTTTGTTGTGGATGGGGACGCCAGGGAGAGGTCAGCGGAACGCGGTTGTTGGTTCTTGTGAGGCTTTCCAGGAAGCAAATAAGCATCTCACAGCCGAGGAGGAATGACAAGGAAGGAGGATCGTTGGAGGAAATAAATCTTGTGACATTGCAGAAGTTTCTCGAAACAATGCCACAGCAAATGTGTGCTGTAATCAAAGCTAAAGATGATCCAACAAAATATTAGTGTGGGACCCTTTCTTTTGGCCAAGTGGTGCATTAGCAATTCTCCCGTCGGCTAAGAAAAGAAACTCTGACCTAAAACATTAATCTAGCAATATGAATACCCTGTCCAAAAAGTGGTTACCGTTTTATACAGGATTCTATCATGTCACTGGACATCAGCTTCAGCCTGGTTTCTAGGTGCTTGCCGAACTCTTCTTCCGGCCAGTGGAGATCTCTGATGAACGTCTGCAGAGCGTCCAGCTTCCAGAACAGGTCCTCTGAAGTTGCTGAGCCATTGCTACAGAACCACAGATCAGAATCATATAAACCCAAACTGATGACTGAGATACAGCAAAAAAACATTCCCTGCTTATTCAATTGTTCTATTCATACAATAATATTTGTACTCATATTCATATTAAGTGCAAGAAAAAAGGTAAGAAATGAAATGAAGTCATCAAGCCTGTCTAGCTACAATTTTCAGTGTCAAAAATGAATAATTTCATAGCCAATGGTTTTATCTGAATAAGATATCTGCATGATGAAGCATTCACATTTGCATAATTTGACAAATTAAAACTGTCATACGCATCTAACAGGAACTAGAGCTAAATTGTAGCTGTTCATCAGCCACTGTATATGTAAGGTAAATTTAGGAAATGTGTGAGAATGATTTTTTTTCAATAACTTTTCACATACAAGAAGAAGATGGAAAAAAGAAATGAAACATTCTTCAACGCATACATTTACAAAAGATTAGGACTACTCAGGAAGAAACTCAGGGAAAGACAAATGTACATGATAACATTGATAACTACACAGATCTTAGGGTTCAACTTTCTTTTAAAATCAGGTTTTGATGTTAAAAGAAAACCTTTTCTTTGTTAAGACATTAAAATTCAAGTGTCACATAAAACTCTGATTATGTAGAAGAGTGCCAAAACCATTACCGACAGCAGTATCTGTCATGATATGCAGTGGTGAGGAAGACACAGCAGACCCAAGTTAAGGCTGAAGTGTGATTGATGATGAATTTAATGATAAATAAACACAACAGTCCAAAATGCAGGCAGAACAGAATGAGGACAACACTTGAGACTCAATAGACGCAGAAACCTAAATGGATACACAGAAAAAACCAAATCCTCGCAGTATTAAAGTCATTAAAATCATGGGGTCAATGTATGAGATCAAACAAATACAAATGTACTTGTGCATTCCTGAGCTACAAATACACTGAACAAAAACACAAATACAACACTTTTATTTTTGCTTCCATTTTTTCATGAGCTGAACTCAAAGATCTCAAATAGTTTCTATATACACAAAATGTTCACACATTTAAATAATTTGCTATTAATTTGGCACGCTTCACCCTCCATAGCCCAGAACATGTGTGCGTGCTACGGCACTGCAAGAGCAATACACACTCTGAATCACAATTAGCTGTTATCCAACTGAGTGGAGAAAAGTTGGGTATTTGTGGGAGGCTAACACTTGGTCCTGTTACATTTGGTAGTTTGGGCATTTGGATGTTGACACTCAGCAGAGTGCTTGCTATGCTCCTGTGGAGAGAATAACAGAAGACATGGATCTGCAGTCAAGCCTGGAGCAACAGAGGCACACAAAGCAACGTGACCAAGAGAATGGTGGAGGCCTACTTGAAGACACAATTAAGACATTTTTAGAAACATATTAGGAGCCATGAAAAAAATGGGCTGATAAGAAACAGCGCGATTACAATAGGCCTTCGCAGCGCTTAGCTGCTCGGGCCTAATAATGGATGGATCTGTCTGTAGATCGGTTCTAAAGTTTTTTAGTAGCCAACGTCATCGTCACAAGATCAGAGCGAGATGAAGGAAGCTGGTAAAAAAGAAAGCACAAGCAGCGATGCAGCTTTGTGGAGCATTGACTGTAGGGAAGACTGTTTGCATGTGTAGCCAGAACCAGGAGACGTCTGACTCTGATATGATCAACTTTCGTGACACAGATATCTTTCATAATTTCATAATCATGATTTTCAGCCAGCGTTGACATCCTGGTTTACTGCGTCAGAATTATGACGCATGTCTCATAAATGGCACAGTGTGACATAATTGTTCAGACAGCAGGGATTTTTAAAATTATCGATAATTTTAGTTCCGTATGTAGAAGCAGTACAGATCGTATTTTTTTGGGGGTGAAGAGATTGGAATTGGGTTGTGCAGACTGCCTGAAAAAGTCAAGATATGGGCAAAAAAAGCATATTTGTGTCGGATTTGCCTGTTGTGTGAGCGTAGCCTCACTCATCAGGCTCCTCTCCTGCGGAAGCAGTTCCTAGTTCCAGTCCACGAGGCAGACGGCCGGTCTACTTATACTAGTAGGCTTAAAACTTTTCTTTGTGATGAAGCTTAGAGTTTAAATATCCACCATGTTGTCTTCAAATAACATGGTGGATGTAGGAAGCTGCAGTTGCTGGATCGTTGTGTCTTGTGTCTCTGAAACAGTTGTTTTCTTGCCGATGGAAACAAACTGTCCTCTAGGACGGCCCAATATTTTATTGCTCATTTTACCTTCTACTTTTACAAGCCTTCCAGGGTACTGCTGCAAAGATGTATCCAGAGCATGATGCTGTCATCACATCTTGTCTGATGGTCAAAAAGCTGCATGTTTTCACTCGTCAGTCATAAGAACTTTCTTTCACTTGATCATGCAGTCTCACTCATGCCTTTTGGCAAGCTCTCACCAAACATTGATATATGTTTTCTTGGCCAAACTTGGCCAACACGACTGAATCAAATGACTGAATGACCTCATCAGAATGCAGTCACGTTCTGACAGTCAGTTCTGCTAATGATAGAGAGCCACAGGCACCCCATTGTCAGTGATTCTCTTGGGCAGTGGCGCCCCCAAGGGGGTGCCATAGTCACCCCTGGAAAGACGTTTGCCACCCTACCCCAGGGAATAAAGCCTACAAAGGCTTGCGAGTCAGAAAATGCAGTAAGAAAACAAAATTCACAATCCTTAAATTTGAAGCAATCCAGTAATGAGGGTAGAAAATAACATGGTGGATGTTATTTTCATTGGAACCAACCACAAAAGTTGGTTCCAATGAACAACTTTCAAAGGACAAAAAACTATCAAAGGTAAAACTGAGGTGAGAAGCCATGAGAACCTGCTTCTCCTTTGAAAGACAGTCTGCAAACACACACTAGAGATTTTTATTAGAAATGCAACAGTACCAAATATGACCATTCTACAGAAAAATGTATAAAGGTACCACATTCTCCAAATAATTTCAACAAGTATTTTTTATGCACATACTATACTACACAAGATTTTGTTTTACATGTAATGCGGTAAAATTAACATAGGTAACAGATTTAAAGTGGGATTACAACAGGGAAACAAAAAAGTACAATGAATGAAATGTAATAGTAGAGAGTGTAATGCAGAACTAGGACTCATCCTGTAAAGTGGTGTTAGCATAAATGTTATTTTTGTGCTGCTTTCTCATGCTGTATTTGCTTGATGCATTTATTATTTTTCATGATTCACAGTTGTTCATAGTAGTTTAGCATTGACCACACACAAGATAATTGCTTTGGTACATTTTTTTTTCTGTCTACAACAGTAAAATAATTTTGGGGTTCCTGTCTCTGTTCCTCTCCGCTGTGAGTGGCGCACAGTGCAGTGCGGAAAAGGACGTGAGGAGGATGGGAGGGAAATGAAACACGTGACGGAAATAATCCTAAAAGTACAGGGGTCTGTGTGTTGATGGCACATACAAAAAAATGTATGTTGTTACAAGGAATTTGAGTTAATCCAGGATTAACACGTTCATTTTAACATATCTAGTTAAAAATAAAAGCTATGAAAATGATTCCAACAAGCTGGTTTTATTTTGGACTCAACTGTATGAAATAAGCCACGTGTAGGTAACTCTACAAAGAGTATAAGAGAAGATAAAAGAAAAAAAATGTAAATCCTTACTTTACTGGTTCCCAGCACTCTCTTTCAAAGCCTCTGTGGATGGACTGAGCGATGGACGACTCCATCAGGTCCACGTATCGCACCACCAGAGGGGCGTACAGGTCCTGGAGGTGTTTGTGGAACTTTCCATTGCACAGGTTGTCTGTAAGACCGAACCGGAGAAGAGAAATAATGTGTCAAGCATGTTTCTTCATGTGCAAATTACACCAAGCACAATATAATCACCAGAACGAAGGGACACATCTTCACTGGTTATCCATAAAAACCCATCGACTTCAAGATTCTCCTTCTCTCCTTCAAAGCTCTCCATAACTTGGCACCTGTGCACCTCACTGATCTTCTGAGCTTCTCTTCCACAGCTCACCTGTAATTCTGATTCTATGTCTTCATTTAAATCTAAGCTTAAACCTCACTTCTCCAAACTTGCTTATTCTGCTTACAGCCACTTCTTTCTGTTATTAGTTCTTCTGTATTTGATGTTTAGTGACCTTGAGTGCTTTGAAAGACATCTTCAAATAAAATGTGTTAATATTATTATTTTATCATCATGATTATACGTCGCACATGTTTTCTTTTGGAGTAAAAGTAAGGGAAGAGATATTCAGTCAAGATTCCCAATTATTTACTTCAGATACATTGATAAAAAAAACTAAATCAAATTTCAGCTCACATGTAATTTACAGCTACATTTTTTGGGAAAACTGATTTTTAATTTTTTTTTTATTCCATTACTACAAATGAAACATTTGTTCTCCTGCCTCCCCATTCTTGACAAACAAAAGGTCAGAGTCTTGGGGTGTTTCTAAATCCAACACATCACGAGCATTTCCCCCAGTCTCAGCTGACTCCCAACTGGTAAAAAGGCAACACTGACAAAGACCACAGGAGATAAAATGGAGGCCAGTGTGTGCTAATGTGATGCCTCACGGCTCCATGCAGCGTGTCTGCTTTTTCTCTCCTTCTCCCTCTTTGTTTTTCTCTCTCCCTCTGAGCATGTGTTTGTGCGTTTGTGTGTTGGCATTTGAGTCAAGGTCGATGATACACAGTAGGTGCAATGTTTGTTGTGTTCCCTGATTGCCACACTCCAAATTAGCCACTTGAGCGGCTGCTGTCCACTTTGATGTGTTGTATCCAGGAGTGTGCTTGCAGGGTTCGCCACGGCGAAGCTACCACTGCTTTAGACCTCATTAACTCCTCGAATGGCAGCCCGACTTTGGCGCCTGTCTAGTTCTATGGCTATTTACTACTGCATAAGTGCACCGCTGTGGGGCAACAGAACAGATGACCTTCTGTGGTAAAGATGTCCCTGCTATTATATATTTTACTCATGCGACTAGTTACTCTGTCTGGGCAGTTAGAGCTTCTGCTGGGATTTATACCGATACAGTGCTCTGGGTGTACATATTTACTGATAATGAACACCCCGTTTTAAGGGTCTATGACAACTCATAATGAAGTAATTGCCAATAACTTAATCATTCTAGCATTGTAAATGTTATGAAGCCAATAATGATAACCTGTCAATGGTGTAACCAGGTATTACTTTATTGATTCAGCAATAACCTAAATCCTTTATCAATGTGGGTGACATCAGAAGCTCATATGCACCCACTAAAAAGACACATAAGCCTTTTTATCCTCACTGTCTGACATTGACCAAACTTCTGCTGTTTCAGGTCAGCTGGAATTATCTAAATTATTTCTATTCGATAAATGCCACAATATTTACAGAGAGAATATATCAAAGATGGATTTATTATTGTCATCAAGATTAGAAGTTTGTAAGTCTTTCCTCAGCATTTCACACCATCACCTGTATGACTTGGGTCAAACGTTTTGGGTTTTCTAACATAAAATTCTCACAATAGAACTAAGTCAGGTTGGTATGCTGCCTCACTCACACATCTTTTTCAGAATCATTTTGATTTTATGCTTAGGACTGTTGTCCACTGGGAAGACCTATTTGTGCCCAAGCTTTAACTTCCTGGATGAGAGTTTGGATGTTGCTTCAGTATTTCCACATAATGTCCTTTCTTCATGATTCAGTAGATGCACCTTTGGCTGTAATCCCAGCAAAGTGTGTGCATGCGTGCGTGCATGTGGATCGATCTCAGCCAGGCTTGCATGTCTAGACACTGTAATTTTATTCCAATCTTCCTTGAAAAACTGTCCCAGTTCTGTCAGGTTGGTGGGGACTGGCTGTGAACAGCACTCTTTAAGTCATGTTCTTTATTGGACTGAGGTCTGGGCTTTGAGTACTCCAGAACGTCCACCTTCTCGTCTTGAAGTCTGTGTAGCTTCAGCTGGATGCTTCAGGTCGTCATCTCGCTAGAAAATAAATGTCCTCTGAAGTCGTAGTTCTCCGGCAGATGGAAACAAATTGCGCTCTAGGATTTCTCTAGATTTTGCTGTGTTTATTTTGTGGCCCATGTTCACAAACCTTCCTGGACCTTCTGCAGAAAAGAATCATCAAAAAACACGATGCTTCCACCACCATGCTTCACAGGCAGGATGATGTGTTTGTGGTGATGTGCAGCCTTTGGCGTTCGGCAACAATACCGTCTTATCTGAAGGCCAACAAGCTTCGCTTCAGTCTTCTGTCAAGTGGAAGAAAGTTCTTCTACTTGGCCATGGGGTTTCTGACAAAATGGGGTTTAGTTTGAAGTATTGCTTGTTACTCTGATTGAGTAACAATCAGAGGATTAACCAGACTTACTTCTTGCTTTTTAACCTACTAGCCATGTTGTATGTCTGTAGTGTGTGTGTGTTTGTGTGTTTTTTGGGGGGATGGGGGTCTGAGGATGTGGTCAAAACTTGATTCTGGTTGCTGCAGGTCAGCCATCTCTTTAATGAACTGCATGCTCTTGCCTGCAGGAACACTGAGGAACAGTCTGCAGCCCTGTAAAGGATACACTTCAGTGTTCACAATGTGGACTCAATCTAGAAGGTGCTAATTGTCCCTTGGGAATGTGTCCCCTTTTTAGTTTGCCAGTCGGGAGTCAAGGAGAAGGCGAAGCATCGTCCACTTATTTGGCGTAACTGAAAAGACTGCAAATAGCTTGTTATGCTCACTTGTTAGTGTTATCAAATTGGCCTCCTCCTGATTTTCCTTCACATTTTCAGCTGTGTGAAAGTAGCAACTAAAGTGCATAGCAATGGACGTGGTTACACAAGGCAGCATAAAACAAGGACATTGCTGGGTGCTGGTTAGAGTACTGAAGAAAAAGAACACAAACAGAGACAAGCAGGCTGCTATGACTAAAGTTAACGTTTAAGAAATATGGCAGTCCAAGACTCAAGTTCTTTTTAAAGACCTTTAAATACGTTTACATTGAAAAATAGTAGATGCTCTTTGATAGGTTCTACAATTGTTGCACCTCGAGGTAAGAAAGATCAGCATCACTGTTACTTTTCTATAAAACAAAAACACAACTAGAGTTTGATAGCTTAGTTGTAGAGGCTTTTTGACTGAATCATATGACTAATGTCCATGCAACATTGCAGACACATCAACAAACACAGCCCCACAACATCCAGAGCATTACAGCGGAGGTATTACGTAAATTATTTATATGCTATTCCCTCATCAAAAACATACCTGGAGTGTTGCTTTGATTCTTCCATCCGTATTTGAGAAATCCTTCAATCTCCCATGGCAACCATTCGGGGGTGCCTAAGCGCTTGCCCATACAAAGCCCCGCATATTTATCCAAACCTTAGAATTAAAGTTTCCAGCCTAGCATTCCCCTTTCAGCCCTGCCCCACCTTCTCCACTCAGTTCCTCCAAACTAGTGGCAGCAGTAATTAGCAAACACCCAGTGGAACTTTAGTGAAAAATGCAATCTATTAATAAGTATTGAAATCCAATGCATGGACAATACTGAGAGTGTAAGAGGTCTCAGCATCCTATCTAGTTCTATCAAAGGTTATATTCACACTGCATCCTGAAGTGACCTGATTCTGATTTTTTTGTTGTTGTTGCCTTAATGCGACCTGATCTTTTCATGACGGACAGATTTGTTCCACTGTGATCCAGTGGACATATTCAATCTTTTCAAATACGAACGAGGCTGGAAAAATCATTTCATAAGTAATACAAATGATGTCATATTTTGCATTTATAAAACCTCAATTAAATATAATGCTCAGAGAATCAAAGTGACTCTACATGTAGTTAACCTCTCTGTAAAAGAAAATGGCCGTCTGCTTCTTACATGTGTTGACTTAACTGGAAAGGACTTAGCGTTACAACCACTAGCTTCCATGTTCCATACAGAGTGTGCGCACACAGTTCAGAGTTTACTAAAACTGACCCATCTGTCTCAATCTGGCAACACAAAAATATGATTCAAGTGGCGTCTGTGCAGTCGCTCCCTCTACATACAAACAAGTTAATTGCTTGAATGAAGTAGCTCACTTATGGGATCAACATGCTGTCTGCCCCTGCCAAACTACATCTACAGGTTGAAAAAAAAAATAAAAAAATGTGTTTTACACCAGTTCCTCTCACAGTTCAACCTTAATCAGAAATACATTTCATTGTGTCTGCATGGGATTATTGTTAATTTCTAAGTCACTCACAATCCACTCTCAGGAAGTCATTGAGCAGCTGGAAAAGCGGGAAGCTGTCCCAGCTGTCAGGCGGCTGGATTTCAAGGGCTGCGTCCATGTCGGCCGAGTAAAGACACAGGAAGGTCTCGGCGTGCTCCACCATCAGGTCCGACCACCACGCAAAGGCCTTCGCACGGAGCGCACATTGACAGACAAGAGTCCGAAAAGCAAAGGGAAATCAAAATGTTGAGAATGAGGAAAATGTGTACAACTATAGTCAGTGAAGGTGAATCTCTATTAATATGTGTTTGCTAAATCTTAAATAAAAAACTAACGGTTAAATGAAACCTCACTGATCTGCTGGAATGACTCTTGGCTCTCTCTTTTACTTATCACCACGTGGAATTAAGTTGCTGAAAATAAAGAATTCATCGTGGGATCTCAAGAGGAGGCTTCTTCACAACTTGGGGCACAAACAACAGTTTTTTTGGCAAAGAGATCGACATGCTTTCCTCAAGGCCCGCTGAGGGAACAGCAGAAGCTCCTTGACAAGCATGGTAGGGAGCTACTTAAACACTTACCCACAGCTCCTTCACTCAGTCGGTCGGAAGAAAGGAGCCAGCGAAGTGTGCCGCACACACATCTCTTAATCAAATAGATGCAGTGGAGCAGGTGTTGGCAACCCCGCTACTCTCATGCACGTCGAAAATACAATATTCTCCATGCACCGCTGCTCTTGCTGAGCCTCTTAGGACAGAGGATCCGTGGTGTTCACATCAAGCTGTTAGCACTGTAATGTGAATGTACCCACTAGTTTCTATGGCACTCGTTGTGGTGGGAGAGGTAGAGGGGGATGAGGGGCTCATGCACTTGCCATAGCAGCTCTTAGCAGCGAATACTTGATGTGGAAAAAGTTGGGAAGAGAGGGACGAGTCGTTGCCACTCATGTAACAGCGTCTGATGACGACTGGCTCTGACTTGAATGAGTTTCATGTGCAGTATGTTCAGTTATTTAAACATACAAAGGTGGCAATAAGTTATATAAAAGAAAGAACATCTGGATGAAATGTTCAGCGGGGCTATGAAAAATGCAGTTTTTAAAAATGATGTTTTCTACACACTTTGTATTGCACACGCATTGTTGCATAAATGTCTAGCAGTAGAGCTTTGGCTATATTCACTATGAAGGTGCAGAACTGGCTTCATGGCACAGTATAAAAGCCAAAATCTAGACTCCTTGCTCAAAAAATAATCTTAGCATGGAAATCTGTTATTTCTGTAATCAATGTTCTGTTTTTGCTGGATGAATAAAAATATATAAAAAGAAGGACAGCTTGCCTTTACTTTTAGGTTATATGCATAAATATTCAGCTGATCGTATCAGAGATAAATACAGTACAGATGGTCTAGGGCGTGTTGTTTACAAATTCTAGGTTGATCATTTTTCTTGTCAATATAAAGTTTTATTTGAAAAAAAGTTTGTGTCCAAACATCTAAGTAGCTTCCTGCAACAAAGACATGACAGTCGTTGGAGCCGTTGGAGCCACAGTACAGTAGTCTTAATTTTGGCCTTAATAAAGCATCATATAAACATAATAGATAAATGAGATGTAGATGAATTGGACTTGCAGAAAAATATTTTTTAAAAATAGAAAACCTTAAAACTTCTTTATGGTAGTTAAATAAAAGTTCTGAGGCTGTTAAAAGGTTTTCGTTTCAAAATTGTAAAAACTTGCTAAATATTGGTTCATGACAAATTTGTGCCTAAATACTTTTACAAGATATCCAAACATATGTCAATGCTAATTTGAGATACCTTGGACTGAAGAACTATTACATGGTACTATTTTTTAATTTGGAGAATCTCTTGACGCCACCTTTGTTTGTCCACAGATTTCCTAACTGAAAAGCATTCCATTTTTTTATCCACTTGTACCAAAACGTTTAGGAAAAGATTTTGCCTTCCGTTTGTGGGTTTCAAGTTTTACTAGACATTGTTTGAAAGATCATCTTATTTCAATTCACTAATGATAATTGAACAAATGGTTACATAAGAGGCAAGGAGGAGGGGGGTTGTAAACATGAGTAGAATTGAAGCGAAATTGGAGGAGTGGCGTCAGGCAATAGAAAGCAGGCCTCACATTTCTCGACTTGTTCAACAACAGGAACTTTATTCCTGTGCCTTTTTCTTTATAAGTAGCTTGCAGGAAACAGGACGGCATATTAAGGAATGATTTAGAGTAAATTCCTGAAAAAGTAATGTTTTTTGTGGGGGGAGGAGAGGGGGGGGTTCTCAGGTCAAAGGTCTGTTTTCAATACTGCTGAAGTGCTTGTCAGTCCTTCTGTATGCAGCTTGGCGCATTTATCATACAAAGTACCGGTACAAGCACTTGGCTAGCAGTGGATATGTGTTAAGCATAAAGGATCCTCTGCAACAACTGTATCATTATGTGCATGCGGAGGGCCTGGAGGGGTCAGGGTAGAGGGTCAGAGACAATACGCTGATTTACATACCTCTTTTCCCTGCTCAATATACGCAACGTGCAGATCAAATAAACAGTTGAAATAAAAAGCAGAAAGGAAGTAAATACATTTTCTTTCATAGCACACAATAAAGCCAGAAAATAATTAAAGAGACAGGCATATGAAATGATAGGTCTATGAAACTAACACGCTAACTCGCTAACATGCTAACACGTGGCTCATATCAGTTTAATGTGCTCCAAGGTCAGTTACTGCAAATGTAGTTCTTATTGACCTTTTACTTAAGATTGTTAGAGTGTGAACATTTTTTTGTTTTGAATATCTTGCGGGCATTACACAAATCAGTAGCTAAAAGACATATTTTAGGGAGCTGGGAATACACTGAGTGTGTGCGTGTGTGTGTGTAGGTGTGTGTGTGTGTGTGTGTGTGTGTGTGTGAGTAGATGAAGATGCTTAACAGTCCACTGACCTCAGCATGGTGTTCCTCATTCTGCTGAAGCACCTCGATAACCAGCTCAGACAAACGGATAGTGTCCTCCAGCTTTTTGGCAGGGGTGACTAACCGGCCTACATTTTCTGAAGCACAGGGGTTAAAAATCAACAATCACTTTTTTTTGCCCCCCCTCTGAGGCACAGCTTTTTGGATAATGTTTGCATGCAGCCTAAATGTCCTAATGAACAAAAGGAAGTACCATGCATGCTGTTAAATTGATTACACATTAAATCTAAAGGTTTCAGTCACTCAAGAATTTGGATTTAACTGGTGTCTCTCAAGTGATTCATATTTGACCTTAAATTGATACAAAACATGTATGTATGCTAAAAGGTTTTTAGTAGATATACATGTTTTACAACAGGTTGAGTAAAAGAAAGAATAAAATATCCTCTTACTATGACTGGAATCAGAGCACAACACTGAACATTGACTTCCATCTCAGAGATTAGGCATTTAAGTACAATTTGAAACCAATTCATATTTGCCTTGGTTAAAGGTCATTGTGCAAAATCACACACAATGCATGTTTAACACCAAAACATACATACTTTTAAATCCAAAACTATCTATCTATCTATCTATCTATCTATCTATCTATCTATCTATCTATATCTCTCTGTAGATACATAGATATATATGAGGAGTTGTTCCTTTGCAGAACAGTGATGACATCATCTAATAAAAGCATGGGCATGATGAGGGACATAAGCAGCAACACTGAACACTTATCATGCAGTAATGTTGTCATCTTTTGATTTTATTCAGAGGTTCTAAGTTACAATGTGTCTGTTGAACTTACATTTCACAATAAATGTATAAATACATGAGCCAAAACATTGTGACCATTCAGAGAACGATGATGATGATGACCATCTCATAACACTGGTGGAAGTCTGGTTAATTATAATTTATTTTCAAAATCAACATACTGCTAGTTTCATGTTGACACGTTTCCAAAGTCCTGACAAACAAGTGTGTTACTCCGCAATGGTCATGATATGTTGGCTCATCACTGCAGGCTACACTAAATGAAAGCTTGACCTCCACACCTTCATTGTGTTCAGTGAGAGGTGTATTTATACTATGGCCAGAAAATAATCTAACTTCTTGTTTGACAGAGCCTTGTGGAATCAGCTTGTGACAAGTTCCACTAACCGGTGTTTGTAAGTCAGAGTAGATTTACAGATCTGTACGTAAAAGGCCATGGTATAAGGATGAGAATGAGTTTAAAAGTGTTAGAATGCAGATGATTTTGATAAGGTATATAAGGCAGATAATGGAATTTGAGGCAGAAACACCATAATACAAATCAAAGTGCTTCCACTTCATCCATTATGCTCATATGTCAGAAGAGCAAGTTAAGTTTTATCACTTACAATGGGACAGTGAAGTTAGCAGGCATAAAAGGCAGGCCAGGACTCTAAAAGTAAAAATTGAATTATTTGAGACTGGAGTAATTTGGTTGGATGATCATTCAGAGGAAGAATACACAATAACCAGGCTGCTCAGCCTGCTTTCAGACAAAGAGTACAGAAAGAAACATTTAATGGGAAATTATCAGATTCAAGTCAAATACGGTGGGTCTCATCCATTTACCGCCGGCTTCCAAAGTCATTTCATATTAATTCACCCAATGAACTACAATTCTGAGGCTGATTCACGAGTTTTCTTAAAAAAGAAAGAACATATGATGGCAGTACCACCATCAAGTGACAGTGATTTGGCTGTTATAAACAGTCATGTATGAATAATGAGAGTAGCAGGTGACCAAAGTCACACCCTTGTGGTACGCCTGTCAGGATGCACTCTGCCATTCGGGCCATCTGTTGCTAAGGAAGTCCAGCAACAGACAGGAAGCTGGCTGCAGAGACAGCTTATTATTGTTCAGGTGTGTAAGGATTGTTTGTAAACAGGTTATATCATTAGTTATATTAATAACTAATATAACTAATGAAATCAGAAATTATTTTTATTTTAAATTACATAGCTAGCACCCTTAGCTGAAGCGAGCTGTAATCTTTATCAGGTTCTGCCCGGAAATGCTAAACTGCTTTGAAATGACACTTTGCGCCACTGCTGTTCTGCAGTCGAACATGTTGTTAAAAGTTTCTCTTTCAGCTAAAAATGACTGAATGTGATCCTTTTGTTTCCTTTTCGTCATAGTACTTATTAATGTGAAGCTCCGCCATGACATTAGTAAGACTTCTACTGATACCTTAGTTTCTAACTTTTGCAAAAAGCTGATCAGAATATTTATCTTGACTTTTCTCTCCACACTGAGAATACAAGAGGTTTGGGAGATCAAGGTTTCTTGAGTGATGCACTAGATAAGGTTATGTTTAGGACATCACCTTGATCCTTTGCTTTTTTCTGAGATTTATCTACTAGGTGTGAGGTAAATTAAAAGAGCAGGTCACCAGGATGGAGAAGAGGAGGAATGAGAATGGGGGGTTATCAGGATCAGGGTAAGAGAGAAGACATGAACATAGCATAGGTAAAATACAGAGGAAGACATACATCAATAAATGCCAATTTTACACAGACTCTTAAAAATGTTTAACCTACTACCCGCAGGTTTATTCTTAAGGCGTCATTCTAAATATTAACCACAAGAAAATTAAACACGATTTTTTTTTATTTCAGGTTTGTGCAACTATTATCCGGATCTAATGTCTAGTTGAAGTTCTTCACATAAACATAGTTGTTTGTGTCAACAAAAATGAGACCTAAAAATGTCCAAAACAATTGTTTAGGTGTGCTGTTGCTATGGCTTTAACACTCGAAACTATTTACAAGAAAGCAAAGTAAAAATGCATTCAAGTCGCAGACAGACAGAAGATGGGAGGCAAAAGCAGGACAGGCAACACAGATAAAGCAAGTAAGGAAGTAAAGCAATCTATAAAGCACTTTTGACAGTTGTGGAAAAATTGCTCCAGGACACTTGGAACATAATCTAGAGAATATCACAAGTTAGTATTAATAAACAGAGTACAATCAAACCAAAAGATGCTAGTCAGCATAAAAAAAAGAAGCATTTGAGATGGTTGGCACAAACTCTGCCTAAAATGGGAACAATACAAGGATCCATAGGAGGGCGAAACGAAGCGAGCGAAAGATACTCACGAATAGTTAAATCCATCACTTGAGACGCCAAGCAGAAGACAGGATGCTCATACATCTCTCTTTTTTTCCCTACAAACAGAGGAAGGATACCAAGGCATGCAGGAGGCCAAGGTCAGAGAGGATGAGCATAGGAAAGACCGGTGGCTGAGGGGAATACTGTGTGATGGTAAAATACCAGAATGATAGCTGTGGAATACTGTTTGACTTACTAGATAATGTAGTTAGTAAGGGAAATGGATGTTATTTATATAATCCCCTTCTATTTGAGTACGAGAATACTGAGCTATAAATGTGTATCTGTAGAACAATGCAAAGTTAATCTTGTACAAAGCTGTCAAGTAGATTACAAAAAAACTCACCTTGTCATTCAGAGGGTCTGGTCTCAGAATATCAAACTTTTATTTCTTTAATTTGGCTGTAAATACACTGTAGCCAGGTAGACATGCTCAGTAACATCCAGCTTCTCTTTTTCCCACATTTTGTTGTGTTACAGTCTTATTCCAAAATGTGTAAAAGTTCTTCCTTTCCTCAAAATTCACCATGAAACATGCTCATACTGGTGATTAGACACATTTTTTTAAAAGATGTGATTTCATTTTAAGAAGTGACTGAATATCGATCTAAACATGCTGGAAAACTAAATCAAAAAGAAAGACCTCAGGATTAAGATTTCTCTATTTGCCATTATAATAATCTAGTGAAAATAAATGCATCCACCAATTATTCTGTCATGTTTTTCATCTGATGGTGGTATCAAGTTGCTTTATTAATAGACTTTATTTGGTTGTAAAAGTTCAGCTCTGTGTCAATGATGTCACCTCGGTTTCGTGAAGCTTGATGGGATTTTGCTTAGGACTCCTAGGCCTGTCGCGATAACAAATTTTGATGGAGGATAAATTGTCCCAGAACTTATTGCGATAAACGATAACATTGCTGTTTTGAAAACATTTTGAAGTAATATAATAGTAATAATGGCATAAAAATGCAAGAACACATTCTCAAAGATCAATAAACTTTATATTCTAGTAAACATTTAAACTCTGGAACTGGAGGTCACTTGAAATATCCAAGATAAAGAAAACAACAGAAACAACAAATAAAATTAATTATGAAGTCTCTGTCAACAATATTATCTTTCAAAAATAAAGGACTAGTTGAGACCAAAACACCAGACTGAATACTTCCATTGTTCAGTTTTTGGTAAAAAAAAAAAAAAAAAAAAAAAAAAAAAAAAAAAGAAAAAAAAAAAAAAAAAAAAAAAGTTTTGGGGTTTTTTTTTTTATTGCAA